AACTTCCATCCAAAGATGTACCATCAGACCACAGCAGCAGAGGAGATTACTACACATGACCAGGGCAGCGTGCACGTCCACAACAGAACCACTAGCACCACCGTTAGCCGACGGAGAACCAAAGGAAATTTCACCCAAAATCCAGAAAATTGTAGACGACATAGCAACCCTCACTCTCTTGGAAGTGTCTGAGCTCAATGCCTTGCTTAAAGTAAGTACCAAACTTTATTTAGATTAATTTTCCCTCGTCACCTGTCTCAAAAGGTCGTTGTACAACACTCATTGCTGCATCATGGCCTTTGATGCAATAACTTATCCAAGCATAACTGTAAAAAGCTGAAGCAACTAGAGAGCAGAGATTTTAGAATTCAACTTCACCCCATTTCCTCTACGTCTCATCTTTTGCCCTGTCATTCTGCCTGTCAATCTTCCTCCACAAACATGCTGTCATCCCCACTGTCTGGACAAACAGACACACAAACCCACAGCTCAGCCACCCAAAACAATACATACATACCCAAAAGTAATGATTATTCCTACAAGTTGCATTAGATGCTGGCACCATGGTGTAAGGAGTTTCTCAACTTCTTGAATTTTTCTCCCTCTGTTTCAGAAAACATTCAACATTGCAGATACACCCATGATGCCTATGGGTGGTTTTGCTGCAGCACCCCTCCTAAGGTGAGATTATGAGTGAACTATGTCAGTTAGAAGCTAATATATGTAGCAAAGTAGTTCTAGTTATACTGGTTTTTAAGTTTGTGATTCTACATTTGTACTTCCTAATTTTTGTAGTATTGCTGTAGTGTCTTGTTTAACGAGAGGGAACCTCTCTTTTATATATTTGTTTGTACATTGGCTCATGAGGTGAAAATGTGCTCTTTTCCATGATGAATGAAGGAGGAGGAAGAAGAGGCAGTTGTGGAAGTGAAGGAGGAACAGACAGAGTTCACAGTCAAACTGGTGAAGTTTGATGATGCAAGTAAAGTCAAACTCATCAAGGAAATCAAGACATTCAAAGAGGGAATGAATCTTGTGCAGGTAAGGCAACAATAATCTTAGATACTGGTTAGCCTGGGGTCCATCTACGAACACTAAACCCACTATGTTCCATCTCTGCAAGGCCTTTGACTGAAGGGAGGACAGGTTTTCCATGACAACATGCAAACCTCCCTTCCTCCTTTCTATAAAATAAAACCACCGCAAAAGTTTCAAGATTTATAGAGTATACGGTATAGGGACATTAGAGTACATTATATGTGTCAATTTTTCTTTCAGGTTAAATATCCTATCCTGTTTTAAAGGACATGTATATCCTATCTTCTAGCTGATTCCCAAATGTTCGATTTCCTTCCAGGCTAAGAAGTTTGTAGAGGCGACGACTACAGGACCTCAGGTAGTGAAGGAAGGCATCGCCAAGGACGAGGCAGAGGCTATAAAGGCAGCTCTGGAACCTCTTGGGGCTGTTGTACAGATCGATTAGTAAAAGGAACACTTATGAGTAGAGTACTATAGGCAGTACATATACACACAACCAGTATGTGGCTTGGAGTCACCATTACAGGAGAGGCAGAGTTTTAAATAAAATATTTCCAACTTCAATCTGCAATTGTACTTCCTGTCTTGCTAATTAATCATCTTTATAACAATTCCATTGTTGTTTTTGCAAATAGTATAATGATAATAATAATAAAGAATCAAGGAGAGGTACACTGTGTCGTTTTCCTTGAATTCTGTCCTGTATCAAATTAAGCTTCTACTGCCTGTAGTGTGATGTGATGTAAAATAGAAAAAGATGTACCAACCATACAAGTCTATCAAAGGCAGGCGCTTTGTAAGGTACATGTAGATGGTTATCATTGTATTATTAAAACATGTCTTTAATACAATTCTTTGTCGCTTGCAATATTCTGTAATATCTAAGTCTGACTCCTCAAATACTGAAAACAGCAAGATAGCAAATTTGGTTGAGTTGTTGATAACAAGTACAGAAAAGACAAAGATTTACTAGGCCTAGCATGCTAGTATGCCTAGCCTAACAGGTTTTACAATTGGACAATAGGGACATGTAGTGACAGAAGTACTAGTAACTGAAATGAATGGTAGATGTATAGAATGTCTTCACTTACACAGAAGTCTGCAATCAAGAAATTACAAAACAAAGACTTATTTTGCAAAATTTTTATTATACATGTACATGTATCACAAGGCAGTGCCTAAGATGAGATTGTTCCGTAGTAAAGCCTAACATAGCCACTCCCAGAGCTGAAGGCTGTGATCGTAGAAGGAGCAGGAGGCAAGCAGAGGTTTTCCTGGTGTGGCAGATGGTGTGGACATCTGCGCAGAGCTGATGGTCTGTCTACACCAGTCTACTCCATATGCTAAAGACTGATGCTCCATGTATGATGCCACTACGGAAGGATCATCACCATCTGCTTTATGAAAGGAAATAGGCTTTGTTACGTAATGTCAAAGTATACAGAAACTAACACTTGTCAACCAAATGTACAGATTATGAGAGGAGAGACTGATGTTTTCCTCAACATTAATCTACAAATTACCATACACCACTCACCTGTTAACTTACTGACATCTAGTATATGGAAGCCATTGTGCATACATGCTGCCAGGAGTAAGTCCTTGTTCACATGGTGCCATTTCAGCCTCCAAACACCCCCTCCAACATGTACATCTGCGACTGGCCGTCTCATATTCCTGGTGTCCCACAGTAGCACATGTTCATCATAGCTCCCTGTCGCTAAGCGGTGCTCCTGGTGACAGTTACTGTGGATACTGACCACACCCATGTCGTGGGCCTTACTAGCAAAGGTTGGGTGGGTACAGGGTGTTCTCGTGTCCCAACCTTTGAGCCTGCAATCGTCACCCCCGGAGTAGACAGTGGTAGGGTCCCAGTAGTTGAAGGCACATATCCAGGCCTCGAAGTCATGTGCCTTCCATTGGGAGACAATATTCATGCCTGTGGCATTAGGTGGTACCTGACAGAGGGTCAGCTGGCCCTGTGAGTCACTGGTGATGACTGCTGGTTCACTGCTGATATGAGGGGAAGAAACATTTTGAAATCTTCACCAGTTGGCATGTCAACAGTACTGTTTCATCAAATACAAATTCCACCTTGCAAAAGCACATACTATATATTTCATCACAGAATGTAACTTTTGCTACATTTACATAATGCAATATCATAATGCAATATGCAGACATTCTGACTCACCTTTGCTGTCTACCAGTTGACCAATCTAATGACAACACAAGTCCTTCCTCAACAATCTGTACCTCACACTGTCGTGTCAAACTTCTAGACAGGCCAGCATCATCATCTTTGCTGTCTTGTCTGCTTTGCAGAGTCCAAACATTAAGATTCCCTTTGGCATCAGCAATGCCAAGTCCTGGGTACTCTTTCAAGAGGCTATGACACCATTTCATGTCTAAGATGGCTGCAAGGTCTGTCCTTTGGAACTCACTAAGACAAATGGCATCCTCAGTAAGGAGGTTATAGCACAGGAGTCGCCCAAGGCGAGTCTGGGGTACACATGTCGCTCCAGGGTCATCCTTACAAGAAGAAAAGGTTGTGTAAAAATCGGACTTGTAATCTCAAAAGACTGACATGTCCAAATGGGAATGGCAAAAAAGCATACAGAGAGGTTTCGTGATGGTACAAAGCAATGGAAGGCATGCTGCCTGATACTGATACAACAAACAGATACATTATAAAAGTGATTGACACATACAGGGGAGGATGACTGTGCCTCCTGCTGTGCCAGTTGGTATGTCCCACACACCATGACATCCTGGTACCCAGGGACAGGGCACCACTCTACTGAGTCCGCGCTGTACTCGGTGTCCAGCACCTGTAGCTGGCGTGTGTTGGAGGACATTGTCGTACCTTCACCCTCTGGTAGGCAACAACTGCAACAAAAGATATGTCAAGTTTCTGTTTTTATTAACGTTACAGGTTATTACACCACTTCCTGAATTCCTCCAAATACCACACACTACTAGTATTACACTGTGACCTCCCTATCACACAACTGTCAAGATTGTCCCATCATTCAATGGACAAACAGAGACTCAAACCCATGATTCAGCCATCCAAAACACGAGACCTTGAAGTATTTTAAGAACATCTCATTTTAACCATGGAGCTTATATAATTCATAGGGAAGCCCCTTGTTTCAATCAAGTCTCTTTGGGAATAACCTCATAGATTCAACTGTAAGCTTGGTATCAACAGCTAACGTTAGACAAAACTATGACTTGATGAGAAGCGACTATACTTGATGTTTCACACACCTGATCCCAGCTGATCACACGTCTCTCTTCCACGTGTCTGCGGGTCATTGACCTCAGGTAAACCTGTCGTCTGACATGAGGGCGATAGACAGAATTTTTCATACGACATTGAATTCTGAATTCGTAACAGAAATGTTTCACTGCTGATTTTCTATAGATGCCAATATTTATTATTAGTATTGATAATCTGAGGAAACAGTATGGGAAAATGATCTTATTAGGAAATGAAAAAGGGCAGCGTATAACCAGTTTTACGTTTTGTTGCCTTCAATAAAGGAAGTGAAAAAGCAACATGGCGACCAGTCAGAGAAAGAAAGGAGGAGTTCAGCGGGTTGAGAGCAAATTACGGGCTTGTATCGAGCGGGGAGACTATTATGAAGCGCACCAGATGTACAGAACACTTTATTTTAGGTATGGAGTAAGGTTTCATTTATCCGTACTCTAAAATTTGACCCAGAGAATAGAATACGTATGACGTATATGTAAAAAAAATATGATCAGTTCTGCTTTCGATTTTGGTACATGTAAATGACAATGATTTAGTGGTCCAAGTGTTTGAAATGCATGGAATACAATTCCGGTGATTGAAATTAATTTGTTGTGCATTATCCTCTCTGTCCATGTAGATACTCTGCCCAAAAGAAATACAACGATGCTTTAGAGCTGACATATTCAGGAGCATCCCTCCTTCTGGAACACAATCAGGTACGTATGTCAAATGGTCAAAGAGTGGGCTGAAAAACATTCAGTTCTGTTGCCAGTTTTACATGTGAATGAGAACAATGTAGAATATAGAAGAAGTCTATTTTCATTTTGCTAATCCCTTATGTGAGTTTCCATAAAGTATCATTTCATGCAAAAAAAAATGCATCACACTTTTGACAATTTATGACATGTAACACTACATGCATTTACATTACAATGTACACATATGAGTTCAACTGTAACATTAGATGTCATTTGTAGACTGGAATTTGTGCAGTCTTAACTCCTCCTTCCACTGTTGTTGCCTACCCGTAGCTGTGCAGTGGTGCTGACTTGGCCATGTTGTGGCTGGAAGTACTGACACAGGCCAGTATGCCTGTCAGCAAGGAAAACATAGGTGAGAGCTTTAACAGCTTTCTTTTACATCAAATTGAATCCAATATTTACTACCCTTGTCATTTACGAATGTTATCAATGGTTGTGAGCTTTAAATTGTTTTCTGTCATGTTACATAATTGGTGTGGCAGTTTGTGTTTTTGTGTGGAGTCCACACTAGGACCTGGGGATTTGGTTCATTTGATTTTGAAGTTTATTTGGAGTGACAGGGTCCTACAATGTAAACCCAATGTGCCCTTGGAGTCATGTGGTTTGGGAGTGGGAAGAAATGTGTGATTTGACTGATCATACAATTGTATGTAGTAATCCATTGTGTGATGTAATTCAATCAGATATATACCTCTGGTCAAACAGTATAGTTCCAAAACAATCCCGGAAGTCTGAAATCCCTGATGTCTTGTTCCTTCTGCAGATAGAGCAATCAGCCTGTTTAAAGAGCTTGAAGCTGACTCTCCAGAGAGGATATCGTACATCAATGCAGCGCTGAAGTGGACCAAGACTGTCCACCCTGATGAGACATCTGGACACCCACAGCTTCATAACCAACTAGCTCTAGTCTTCTGGAAAGGTAAACCCACCTACAGTAAACATACACATTTATATGTTCATTTAGAAATGCTGCAAGTAGTTGCATATATACATACATTAGGCCATACCAATTTAATTTGTTGGTTCTCGGATTCGCCTCTTCGTTTTTTTCTGATTTGCAAAAAAAAAAAAAATTGATTCTGGTCCTGAATCAACTGAAAAATGCTCATATTTTGCCCCCCAACAGGTGAGGAAAGTCCTTTTCTTCCTAGTTGTTACAGTTTTCCCATCTATCATTGCAGTGATTTGATTAAAAGTTCAAAATTCAGTGTTTAAATTTTAACCCAGCCTTTTGTGTTGACTTCATGGCTCATTTTGTAGCATTTAAGCCTATAATAGGATGCCTAGACCTGTTTTTATTTTTATTTTTTTTCGCCCTGTCGCTTCATATTTTTTCTGAAAAAATCCGAGAACCAACAAATTAAATTGGTATGGCCTTATAAACACATGGGTAATAAATGTGTGACGAAGTACATACTGTATGTGTTTGTGAAAAATGTCCATACAAGATTTGCATTTACATGTACATTTTCTATGAGACTGAATAGATAAAAGATGAGATAGTGGATAAATATGAAAGATTGTACAAGACAACAAAGTGAACAATATAATCTGAAAACCTTTCCTCCCCCAGCAAATTTGTGTTGTTTTTTTCCCCTGCAGAAAAGAACTACATCCAGTCTAGATACCATTTCCTCCACTGTTCAGATGGACAGGGGTGTGGCACCATGCTGATAGAACTGTCCCTACAGCAGGGCTTCCCTAGTGAAGTGGACCTGTTCATAGCTCAAACTGTTTTCCAGTAAGTACTACATGTACTAGTAATTAGTACTAAGGCGTAGGTCCATACGAAGACCTCCTGTCCAGGTTAAGAAACAGAAACAGAAGGGGCGTGAACACATTTCACAGTCATCAGGACTAGCAAAAACCTATCATGCATGGAACTCGTTGCCACTAAATGCAAGCACAGTTGGAGCATCATCACTAGAAAGCTTTGAACAACTCCTGCAAAGATTGAGTGTAACAAGTCGTTTGGTGTGACAATTAGTTGTAAGCAGTCACTACCTGCGAAGCTGGTGTGTTACACTAAAGGGCAGCCAAACCGGCTATACCAATTACCAATACAGATACAGACAGAAAACTAAGGGTGGGAAAAAATGGTTGTTAGATATCATTTTTAAATGAAATGATCTGACCTATGTCCTACAGATACCTGTGTTTGAACAACAAGAGTGCAGCAAAAGTCACCTACATGACTTACACTGAAAGTCACCCACAGATAGAGGAAGGACCACCTTTTCAGAAGCCTCTTCTCAACTTTGTATGGTACCTCTTACTTGCAGTTGAAGAGTAAGTCTTTTTTTCATGTAACACACAAATTACCTTCGAATAAATGTAATACTTTGCGTGTTTATTTTTGCCACAGTTGTGTTTATTTTTGGCACAGTTGTTTTTGTGTGTATGTGTATGTGTGTGTGTATGTATGCATGTGTGTGCTCTTTCTAAATGTTGTAACATTGTGATTTTTTTCCTACAATTGTAGTCATGTAGCCAAATTTTATTACCTGACAAAAAGTCTGTAATGATTATGTACTGCTTTAATCATTAATCATCATGCAAATAGCAGAAACCATTGCTGTTCTATTGTTCTGTCTTGATCTTGTTGCTTGATCTCTCTGATCATTGTGCAGAAGCCACACCTAGCAGCACTAAGCTGAACTGCAACCCTATCTGTTTTCCAGTTGCTTGACTGGTGGCAGCAGCGGTAAGGTGACAGTATTCTCCGTGCTATGTGATATATACAAGCCTTCCATCAGGAGGGATCCTTCATACCTCCAGGTGTGGAATTCTAACTTAATCCTACAATCTATGAGTACTTCTGTTCAGTAACTAGCACCAGTTATTCAAGTACTGAAATGTTTTCCCTTGTGTTTTAGATGTATGTTTGCAGTTTGAAGTATGCTCCCAGGCTATTTTATCTGATTACTAGCATGCTACCTGCTCTGTTTTGTGGCTGGGGCCAGAAACATTGAATAATTCAAGAAAAATGGATTCAGTCAGTTGATTTACCGTAACCTGCAAAGTTGAGAGCTCATTGTAGCAATGCTATGCATATCTTTTAGTGGATGACTGGAAAATGCCATAGCTAATTTGTAAAACTTCAAGGTTTACACATACATGTTTATATTGTCTAAGTTTGTGGGTTCAACATTGTTTATTTGCACATGATCATGACTATCTGATGCCAGACTTAAGGTTATGCTAGTACATGTATAATGATCCCCAATGTGTCTGACCCTACTGTTGTCTTCCCTTCAGTACTTGGACAGAATAGGGCAGCTGTTCTTCGGTCTTCCACCTCCCCAACAGTCGGGTGGATCAGGACTGCTAGGTTGGTAGCTTTATTGTACCTTGATTTCCTATCCAACTGGCATTCTATCTTATTTACATTTCTACATTATAGTACTGGGAAAATTCACCCATGTTGGTATACATCAGTTCCAGTCAACCAAAAATAATGTATATTTGTAGAATTTGTGTGACCTCTTCAGCCTTCTTCAAGATGGCTGACCAATCAAATAGGACATGTGATGTCATGTGACTCCAGGAGTGTGGTCAAATGTGTCTGGAAGTCTGCCACCCTAATACTTGTTGAAGTTCAGAACAATGGTTGTTTGGCTGTTTCTGACTATATCATTGGACTTTGAGCAAAATAGCTTAATGCTTCAATCCAGATTGATTAAAGGGTAGAAACTTTAAGGTTTAGTCCTTCTAAGAAGTTTGATGTCTCACAGTCAAAGTCATACTTAGAACACATGTCATGATACAACTATTTCAAAGCTGTGTGTTGGTTTAGAAAAAAAAAAGGAAATTTGTAGTAAAATTGTCCAGGTTTTTAGACAGATTTCTTCATGTTTTGCTCAGATAATTTGATCCAAAGTTTCCTGAGGGGAGAAGAAGAGGAGGGCCCCCCTCCAGCTCAACCAGAAGAAGAGGATTTGGATTAGAGTAGATTCTTTTTTGAGACTCCTACATGTATAAGGTTCACCAACAAACTTGCCTGTGTAGGTTCTGCACCAAGTTCTTCAGTTTCTTCAATTCACTTATCAAGTGGCATCTCATGCTCACCAGCCACGTCTGTAGCTTCTAAATGTCCCTGGACAACTCATGAAGGCTTACACCACTTTACACGTCACACAGCATGGCATGTTGCATGTTTCCAATGTTTTACACATTGGCAGAACGAACTGGACATACACAGGGACATGTAACTTGCATAGCACTTCTATAGAACATATTGTTTAAGATTCTCCTCGTGTATTTAAGGATGATACCCCATTTGTAGTTTCCAAATATTGTGTAAGGAAAGGTAGCTTACGTATGTAACGGACAAAATTCTGATTCAAAGTTAACCAACCAACCAACCAACAGAAACCATGGTTTTGGGCAGGTGCAGTATATTCTGCCGACAAGCTCAAATGCTTGAGTAATGCCATCCAATTGGCAAAATGGCTGACACATATCATACTTATGACGCCACCACCAAGCGTCATTTTCATTCAAAAACTACAAGATCATTATCGGTGTAGAATTGCTCCAAAGTGTAGCCAGATTGACAGGAAGCAATTATTTACCTAAAGTGAGCAGGTTTGAAATGTTTAAAAAGTGGAATACCTTTTCTGACCCTTTAAAGTTGAAAGATAGGTCTGTGCTGCCATCACCTATCCTGGCTTCAAGCAAGGTTCATATTTGTATTATACTACCATGGGAAAAACTGGTGACATAGATTACATACTGAAGTTCCTGACTTTTTCACAGTATTCTTTATGTTTTCACTGTAACTTCTGTAACGTGAACTTACCATTAACATTATCTTTTCAACCTCTCCCTACAGTTGTGAAGTTTAAGTTCCATGAGATTGTCCATTTTCTTTAGACGGTGAAGTTTTGTTACTACTGTTGAAGATTTAAAGTACAGTAATTAATATATTTGCTACATCTAATGTATGGTGTTATTTGAACTTTAGAAGACTTTCAGAATTTTCATCTTAATCCAAATATATCTTGCCAATTTTTCCTCAAACTTCTGCGGAGAATTGTCGCCTACACTATAGATGTAACATATTGCTTATGTTAAGTCATAGTGTAGAAATGAGTTTACAGTTTCTTACATGGGAAAAGAAGTATTGACTATGCACTTCAACACCAAGCGCAATTCCCTGTATGGCTTCCAAGGATATGTAAATAATGTAAGTTATTAATAACAAGAGACACCCACAAAAATAAACTTTGAAGGATGTTTATAGGAGCCTATAGTTCTGGATGCTGTTCCCTTTTAATTTAATATCCAGATGAACTGATGGCAATATAGAAAGAAGTTGGTTTCCCATCTAGTGTGATGGTAATTTATTAAGTCTTGAAATGTGAGCAACAAGTACAGATGACATGAACTTGAGGGTTGTGCCCCTGTGGACAAGTTTGGGATCATCTCATAAAAGTTGATGCTTTCCTTTTCAACTCTTTGTTCAAGTTTGACAGAACTAGAAAGAAGAATTTCCATTAAATGTAACAATGAGGTATATGACAAGATTGATATTTGCATATTCATTTTTAGATCCATATTACATATGCTAGGATCTGAAGATCTTTCAATACCAGATTTTTTTTTCTCCCCTGGCAATGTTTTGGTAGTTACTTTTGCTACCTTCATGAATAAGTTCATGACAAAATACAAATAGTATGATACTGTCTTTATTCGTGGTCCTGTCTTTCTAACAGACCTTCATGTTCAAGTACAAGATGTGGATTTAATTTTATAAGATCTCCTCAGGCCTTCAAGTTCGTAGATTACTGCACTGTGACTTGCCAATGTGTGGTGGATTCCAACACATTAGTTATGTAACCTTAACTCCAGTTTATATCGTGGCTCCTTTATGAAATGATTTTCAAGTCGTCTCCAGCAGTGGCCGATAGGGGGCGCTCGTAGCGGCTGTGGTACGGCAGGAGGGTGGAAGGGGGGCAGTACAGCATCTCCATTTGGCTGGGACCTCCGTGTAGGGCATTGCCGAAGTAGTACTGGGAAACACATTTCTTTGTCAGCATGATTCAATTGAAAGCTACATACTGCATAGCCATACTTAGCCGTGGCGACTCTTGACTCGGGCTTACATAATTGCATTACCCTCAGCAAGAGTCGTGGAAAGATCCATTGGCAGAACTGCACATTTCCCGTTGGCTGCTCGATGCTCCGTTTTTGACCCGGTTTTTTGCTGTCCCGAGCTTCCCTACAATATAACTCCACAATTGGCCGGGTTGCCGATGTTCAGATCGGCCTAAATATTCCACAGCGCGACGGGAAAGTACTAAAATAGCTAGTCGGTACATCCGCGCCGCCATCTTGGATATAGTCGGGAATGTCCGCTACCGCCGTCGGGAACGCTCGGTAGGCTTTCCGGTTATGATCGGAGAGTTTTCGGTCCCGCTTCGGTAATCGTGGCGCTACCGAGCGTTCCCGACGGCGGTAGCGGACATTCCCGACTATATCCAAGATGGCGGCGCGGATGTACCGACTAGCTATTTTAGTACTTTCCCGTCGCGCTGTGGAATATTTAGGCCGATCTGAACATCGGCAACCCGGCCAATTGTGGAGTTATATTGTAGGGAAGCTCGGGACAGCAAAAAACCGGGTCAAAAACGGAGCATCGAGCAGCCAACGGGAAATGTGCAGTTCTGCCAATGGATCTTTCCACGACTCTTGCTGAGGGTAATGCAATGTAAGCCCGAGTCAAGAGTCGCCACGGCTAAGCCATACTCAGCATACTAAGTATATATGGTCGTTCTAGAGTTCACGAACACAGTGTTGTGCGACGGGAATTATTTCATCAGGTTGGCAAGAGGCTGCAGAAGGTTTCTTTGTTTATCAACTAGTGTGTTATCACGTCCGGCATTTCGGTGACCGCTTGTTATCTTCTTCAGGGTAACAATGGCTGGTGCGGATCCGTACTGCAAGCTAGGTGTCGCTCCTGCAATATCACAAATACGGTCACCGAAACGTCGGATGTGATAATCCACTGGTTATTGACCTTCTTATCCAGTGCCGGGCATGTGTGCGTGCTGAGTGCAGTTCTGTACCATACAAACGTCGAACCTACTCTTATATGGACTAGTATGTTGTTATGACCATGTTTAGGACATTGTGGGGTTATCCCTGGTGCTGATTTCTCGGCTGTTATCGCATTTGTGACGAATATGGCTCATTTTGCTTGCTTGTACTTATGAATGGGGCCAATCAGACATAATCCAAACCACTGATTCAACTGAAACTCATTCTTCTCACCTGTTTTGTCCTCATATTTGATATGATGCTCTTTAGAGCGTCGTTCTCGCGTTTCAGGTCGAAGTTTTCCCAGCGGATGCGCCGTAGTTCCGCCCGGTCGCCGTCGCGGCTGAGCCGGTACACCTCCGAGGTGCGATGTAGGGCGTCCCGCTGGTCCCGGTACCGCTGTACCACAAACACCAGATCCTACAGCACATGTAAAATGTAATGATACAACCCAATGTATCAGTGCGTTAATACTGGAAACATTCTGGATAATGCAATCTGTATGAAATTGCCATCCACTTCCCCCATGCTTTGTGCGTTTAAAACAACCTAGCCGCACGAGGAGTCAATTTAAGGCAATTTATTCATCTAGTTTATCTTAATTTATCTACTGCTTGGGTAAAGAGTAGAATACTGCACAAAAACTCTAAATAATTTAAATATTTTTCTTTTAAAAACTATTGCGGTCAAGGAGTATGGAATCATCTCAAGATTGATAAACGGACGGCTCGGCAGTGTCATTCCGCCTTATTTATTAATTTCTTTTGCTTTTAAAAAGGCACAGGCAGGACTGCCTAACTAGCCAGTGGTTAATACAAAGAGCCATAATCGCTGTGGTTTGCTCATCTAACCTATGTTGTATTGGCTACGTGTGAATCAGCAAGGAGAAGGTTGATAATGCTTGGGGAGAGGCACTGACCTCCAGTCTGGTCTCCAGGTCTCGGCACCTCGCCCGCAGTCCAATCATGTCCTAGAACAATAAGGCACGGCGTTAGATCATGAGGCTACATTGAGTCGATTATGTGGATTACATTCACACACGTATTCATTTCTGTCCGTTACTAGAACAAAAAGTGCATCATCACTGTTTCTTATTATCGACCCACCCTAGCGTCTGCTTGAGAAAAACTACCCCCCCTCCCCCGCTATTCAAAACAAAGTTTTTTTCTCGGCCATTCCAATTTGCCTCATAAATGTAGGGGTGCATCTCAAATATTACATTCACGACAATAAAAACATGTGTATGCATCACGGGCATGCCTGGAGACGACGTATAAAATTACATGCCGATTAAACAAAGGGAACCCTGTGTTTTAGCTGCGAACACGAAAAACCGTTTGCCCACAATACTCCTGCAGGAGGTATACATATACCTCCTCCACGGAGTAATGACAGTCACACTCAGCGGACGGTCCCCCAGACAGTAGCCCACGTGCACCAGTCATAAGCCAAGGGGATAAACGAAGATCTTTCCCAGAAAACAACGTTGATTACACAAATCACAGGATCATGAGTAAAATCTTCTCTAAGCAGTCGACAAACGAGTTCTTTAATAACAAATAGTTTGGTTGGAAAAAAATTCAAACAGGAGCTAGTTCAGTGACCTCATACCTGCTCGAGATATTGTAAATTTCTGTTTTACCTTTTCTCATTGACCAAGGAGGTTAAATACAACTTACATATATTGATTATTGTATGTGGCAAATCTATGCATGGTGATGCTCATTTTTAACTAACAGTTTACAAAGGTTTTTGCTTCTTTCACTTTAACTCCATGTCACGTACGCGTAGTTATTGTCGTCTTTAATTAGACCTGTAAACCATGTGTATGACGTATGTAGCGAGCTATAATGATTTCATATTCCACGCGTTGATCCCACTCTGCACATAATCTAATTATCACTTAATTTACTATTTTTATTAATTTAACGCAGAACTGGGAATTGGATGATAACTTTTAGCAGTGACAGGCACTGCGAATATTTAATTTGATTTCATTATTCCGTAAAAAGTAGAGCATGATGCATCTTTAGGGTACCAGGAAATTAACACAAAACTAATTTGGTGGAGGAAAAGCTGTTCCAGGTTAAGCACTATTACACTGTTAGACTTCAGACGTGTATTATTCATTACATTCACGAGTTTCCCATCCCCAGGATGCATTGCGAATCCTGGGTGGTAAACTCATTTGCATAGGACAGGAGGGCATCGGAATGATCCTGTTGACGTTAAACAGCTTGTTTTTCAGTGTGTTTTGAGGTGTTAGGGCATTTTAAGCTAAAGTTAATTAAATTACTATGGGTTGAACCTGATAGAGAAGGACAGGGTGGGAACTGGGAGTGTATTTGACAACCCAGCTGCTCCTAGGAAACTGTTGACAATAACAAGATTTGATTCATCGTTCAACAATCAGGGAAGGTTGTACTGCATGCCTGTGATGTCATGAGCGCCCAGCCATTGTGCATAGGCCTTGGTCTGATAGCGAAATGATTGAATTTCAGAAAGCTCTGGACTCAGATCCGAATGAAGGGATTACAATTTGCCAACCCCATGGAGAAAGGACACATCAACGGAATTTAAAACCTACCACCGAACAACAACTTATATAAGCTCCCTAGACAAAACAAGAAGTCCAAAAACGATTTGTCTAAATGTATGGAGGAAACCTTGCTGATTCGATGAAGGTTTAAGACTCTGAGTGCTTTTTCTAATTACCAAGTTCAGCCGGTAGAGCTCCTCTGATTGCAGCTTAGTCTGATAGTACCGGCCGTCTGATTGGCTGTCCCGAACCGTCGTACTTGACATCTGTGTTCCCTTGTTAGACCTCTTCATCTTTAACCTGCAGTCTGCTAAGGTAGCCGTTTGCCACCAAATTTGTACTGTACTGGTTATTGAATTAGGCAGCAGGGAGAAGGCTTGGACGATGTAGGTACCACGTACGGACTGTTGTTTACGAGTAAACACCTTGTTCACAGAAACAAGACCGTGGAACGCCGTTTGTGACGAATATAAGTCAACCGAGGTCAACTGTTGGGAGATGTTCTGGAACATTAGAAAGTTGTTTCCATTCGGGAGTATTGAAAGGAGTACGCAAAAGAGGGCATCACATGATCCGACATGATGATCCTACCGTGATGACATTGAAGATTCTCACGATCTGCATCTGAAACAAGTGAGATTTATGATCTCCGAAAAAGTAAATGATTGGTGAAACTGTGGCAACTGTTTGAAGTTTGAAATATCTTTAGTTGGTTTCGTGGTGAGTAACGGACTTACTTGTAATATGTATTTCGTTTTCCAGTGCATTCATGACATTGGGCAGTATTCACAGGATTTTCCTGGACAGGTAGCTTTTTATAGAGGTCACGTACTACACGCACACGTACTCAAGGGTGGTTACTGCGGGTTCAGATATTGCAGATAGAGATACACACGTGGCTGCGCTTGCCGCGATTTACGTCTTACGTAAAACGTCTGCCACACATCCGGAATGCCGGGGGGGGGTATACTACAAGTAATTTAGAACAGCAGCAGTCCCAGGTTGCTATCGTGGCGCGGGTTTAAGTCATGATTCAGACCAGCGTGAAGTCAACACTTATTTCCTCTCTAATGAAATTAAACCCGTGTCAATTTCGCTTCCCTTTCCTGTCCCTAGGGGGCCCAAAGCTACACTAATTCTCCACGTGGCCTTTTAGCCTAGTATTTCCAGAACACGAGATATATAAACCGGAACTCCTGCTGCAGTACCAAGTGAAGCTGCCAGGTGGTCCGAAAGATTATCGTTTCTTTGATAGGTCCATAGCTTCTGGACTCATAGTGCTAAACTACATCCAAACATATATATATATATATACATCCAAACGCTACCAAAAAACATTCTAGGAGAAGGTGGTTATATGACAGATGAGTTAGCCAGGTACTGGACTACACTAGGCAGCCGGTATATAGACTCCGTGTGTTGTACAGTGTACCTATGGCCGGCTAACTCATCTAGCATAGTACTCAGCTATTAAGGCAATCTTACTCTTTTCCGGCACCTCATTAAAGTCTGTTAGAGACTAAATTCGCCTTACAGATAATTCAGTCCTTGCCTGGTTGAATTGCCATCCTCCATAGTTACCCCAGTCTCCCTTGTCGCGATCGCTGGCTAACACGGCGAGTCAGTAACAGGGGAGCCGGCGGCAAACTACGGTGGGTGGCAACCAGGCAAAATTCAGTTTCCAAGAAAGACTTAATTTACGCAAGATTTGTCCTAGTTTAGAGCGGACGGCTTTGAAGATATGCCTAGAGGTGGACGAACAAACAAACGAATGACTGAATAAACTAACGTAACGTACAAACCGACGTAATGCCTAGTGAATACCTAGTATTACAGGGAAATGTCTAGACCGAAAAGTCGTGAAGTGAAGAAAATAGAAGTAAATTCAGTAATTCAACAGCACCTTGGGCCCTTCAACAAAATATTAGATGTATAAGAAGCATAGGTAAAACATAATGCTGCCTCCGGCTTAACACAGAGCCTTTACCGGGTGACATTTCATTTCTCATAGATGGTACCTGATATCCATTCTCCCGTTGGCTGTGTAAGCTCTGTAACGGTAAGATGGTGTTTATGAGAGTATAATTGTGCCCTGCGGTATTTCTTGGGTTCGAGATAGGTATATATGCTACATGTAAAATCCAGAATTCTGCTTTATCCAGAACCATACTCAGGCACGGTCCTGCCTCCTGGATACTAGTAGTCTACGCGTATCCAGAACCGTGCTTGGGGCGAATCTACGTTCTTGAATAAGCGGAGAGTATCCAGAACCGTGCCTGAGTATGGTTCTTGATAAAGCAGAATTCTAGGTTCTAACACATTCATCTGTCATAGAACTAGATAGGCACTGCTCTGGATATCCTACTACAAAGAGTGTGCGATGTTAATAGTTCTAATTATTTGATGCTTCCACCGTTTTCTACATGAATCTACGTTTTTCAAATATTCCTTGCTTCAATATTCCTCACACCCATGGCGCTCTTCTCATATTCTTCGTATGCGGTACATCATATGAAATTGCTCTCCTCGGCTACATTAATATACATTAATATTATACTATCCCCCTCCCCCTGTTTCATTTCCCCACGTACGTTGAGGCACGCTGTGAAGTGATAGTTCTATTCTTATCCTAAATCTCCCCCTTTCTTCCTTCCTTCATTTCTTTTGGAATGTAAGATTACGGGCTACTGCATTGACAGTTCAGGCGTCCAGGGATTTTCAAAAGGCTACACCGACACGAAGTTTCACAAAGAGGCCACGACAGCTACTCTGTGACATATCTGTGATCAAAACCATCTTGGTAGGGCATTACAACATGTATGGATTTCTTTGCCTACCAGAATGATATTGGCATTTCTCAAAGAAGCTGCTCTGAGGTCCTGTCCATCGTTCTGTAACGTGGTTACCATTCAGAAGGCATTCTCCACAGCCCGGCTTAGGAGTGTTTTACCGGCTCCTACCTTACGCCTCTCCTGACATGCCATTTCCAGCCGGCCTTATAATTATTGCCGTCCTTTAGGTGAACTTATTGAAACTGACCCGGTAAAAAACCCCGACGTGCCCTACACGAACAGGGGCGGGCGGGCAGTGCTCTTAACACCGTAGAGACTCGGGCGAGTCCACGATAATCTATTTACGTACTGTGAAATGCAATAACATATTTTCCCTAAGTATAGCGTTGTTACCCCTTTACACAGAATGGGCACAATTATTTGGAAAGTGGGACGACTTTCTAGAATGCACTTCAAATATCCAGGAATATACAAAGACTTTTCATTCAGTTGGGATTCTTTCTCAATCCGTCTGAGGTGTCGGGGGGGGGGTGATAATGGTTTACGTTTTCAAATTCGTACATTCCAACAGGGTTTGTATTTAACTAACGTGGCCCAAACCATCAGTTTTTTTTTATCCAGCCTCTACAGGAATTTTCCTAGAAGACATGGTTGTCATTGTGATCAAATAGAATGACAAATACGAGTTCTGTAGTCATACGTAAAACGTCAACATCAAAGTCTGCTCTAATCCATCCTACACCCAGCAGCCTCTCACTACCTGTTGTTATTGTCAGGTACCTTCAACATCAAGCTGATAAAAATTCCCCAAGGAAACCTGGTAAATAAATTGCACGGCTTTCGCTGGAGGCATGACGAATTGTCTCCAAAGTAGAAGTGACAGTGTTTATCCTCTGAGTACGAGTTACTGATAATTTAACAATCTTTTCACATACAAAACTCAGGCTTGCTTTCAGCCCGTCCCGTGAAAATGTCGACTTTGCAGACATTATAATTAAGCTGGGAGGGGGGGGGGCGATAAGCTGAACGGGTAGGAATATGAGATTTAATGGAATGGTAGGGGGTAAAGATGTTGACAAACACGCGTACGTGTGCTACGTTCGCCCTTTTCCCTCAGAAATGTCGCGGACAATTTTCGCAGAAAACTAGCTGGCAATGATTTCTGTCATTGTTGAGAGAAAAATGCCCATAATTTCCTGCCCCAATACCACAAAATTAACTTACTACAAAAGGAAACGACCACATAAAATTTGTTATCAACCGAAGGAGCCACTCCCATAAATTTCACTTCTTTTAGCCTTTACATGAAAGATAGAAAATAAGATAGGAAACACAATGCACTTCGTATCCCCAGAAGGTATATGATCACAGGTTTCATCTGTCTGCAAAGCAATCACTGTAATGGATTTACCAATCTCCAAGCAGAATATGAATAATGAGATCGTTACGTAGTGCTCCTCTGATGATTGGTACTCGTTTTCAGTGACAGCCGACTTAAGCTCCGTCAAAACGTAGTATCTACCATATGATAAACGACAATTCCGTTAAGAGTGACATGTGGGGATGTCATGACGGTCTGATGTTACTGTGATCGCCATGACTGTTGTTTGAGATGAGAGATACTGAAGTTTTCATGTTGAGACTAGTACTGGCTCGATTATTTTTCATGCACCGAGGACATTGATGGATGGGCAGGCTTAATCTGTGAAGATCTACATCAATATCTGAAGTTTCACTTTACTAGGTAGAAAAGTGGATCTTATCTGAAATAAACATGCTGGCACAACGTAAAGAAATATCTGAGCATGAAGAAGAATGATTATTTCAATCCTTGGAAGGTTCAGCATCCGTTTGTTGACTCTCTAACGACACAGAAACTCAGAGTACTTTAAAAAGAAGCCTGGTGGAGTCTACAATGTACTCTACTTAGCTCGAGCGTTGGCGAATCTTTTTCACTCGTTGATTTCAAAACAACAAACTCAGAATCTTCGGAAGTCAGCCCAAAGTTCTGCCTGTCTTTGAAGAACAGTCATTCGTTTTGGGGAGACTGTTGAGCAAGAAAATTGTATTTACGCCCAGCACTCCAAGATAATCGACTTGTATCGTTCTTATCATTAATTTAGTTTCTGTTATTGACTTGGCTGACACACAGGTACGACTGCCTAGTAACTAAACCAATGTAGTGGATGCAATTACGTACATGTAGCTCTCTAGCTCTTGAAAAATGAATGCAGGGTTTGGCACCACCTAATGTACAGCCAAGAACAGTTTTAACTATTTTATTCCACGTAAGTCATTGCTATGGAGGGCGTTTGGCTATCGATTCCGTATTCCGAGAAAGAAACGACTTAAAACTACCAAAACATTTCAACTTACCTCCTAGGGTCAAAGAATTGGAATACACTGTACACAGAATATCTTTCGCGACTCGACCCATGACTAACTCCTAAGCTTTACGCAGTCCTAGCTATCCCCCTTTTACCGTATGCTTCGTGGCCTGGATGTCAGGTTGTTCCCGTGGGCAGTCAATAAACAGGTCAACCCCAAGTTTAAGACCCTAAAAATGGTCTAACTGAGGGGGTCTGTGGAAATTTATTTGGGGACATCTGGAGCCGAGGAGCTAGCCTGTACACTGTCCCTGTCGGCAA